TCTTGGAAGGGAAGGACAAATCCAGGACAGTAATCCGATTTTTAACCTCCCATTTTCTGACTGTTGTAGCTAAATAGCTTACTGGGTAACACTTAATCCCACCTATATTACCTGGCATCGCACTCAATGAACACAGTTCTGGAGTTAATACAGGTTCCTTTAACTGATGTTTAACATCTGATGATTTCTCTTCCATCAAATCTTCAATCTGGCTGAGACGCTCATTTACCTGCTGAAATTCTGTTATTATTATCATTTGCATGGTAACTTGCCATTCTCTATCTGGCAAAGTCTCCAGCAGTTGATATCTAATTTTTTCTCATCTTTCTAATGAGTATAATCGGTATAAATAATGCTTTTTAGTTTCTACTATTTTATCAACAAACCAAACCCATCATCATCAACCTCCCCTGGATACTTCCTCTCCCCCTTACCCAGATATTATAGTATATAGATCAACTTTTAGCCCAATAATTTAAATTACAACCGTGGCAGTCTTATCAGAGTCTCACACAGTCCAGCCAAGAAGAAGTCCAGACTAAACAGCAGACACAGGAAGCCAGTCTCTCCAATAGATATTGTTATAATCCATCAGGCTCCAGCCCTGGTTTTGCTAGCAACTCAGCCTGTTCAGTTGCATTTGTCTCGCTGATGATTTCCAGACTGCTTTTTTACTTCCAAAAGTTTATTCCTCCTTCAAAAGCCCAGCAACATAGAGAGAATAAGCCAGAAAAGCCCATAGAGCTCTATGGAAGAGGACTAATGCTGTTCCTATATTTAAAAAGGACAAAAAGGAGGAACCTGGGATTGACATGCCAGTCAACCTGACATCGATCCCAGGGAAAATTCTGGAGTACATTATAAAGTGGCCACTCTGCAAGCACCTTGAAAACAATGCAGCAATAACTAGAAGCCAACACGGATTTGTCATGAAAAATCCTGCCAGACTAACCTTATGTCATTTTTTGATCAGGTAATCTCCATGGTAGATGGTGGGAATGTTGTAGACATAATATATCTTGTCTTAAGTAAAGCTTTGACAAAGTGCCCCATAATATTCTGAATAGCAAGTAGAGATGGGCACTCGGAAGCAGCACCCCAGCTTTTCTGTCCCACCTCATCCCGGTGCTGACTCTGAGTAGGCGCTTGCCAGAGGTGGTGGGGTGCTAAACCACAGAATATTTGTTTGGCCATCTGCTAAACCAGTATGGCAGTTCATACCCATCTCTATTAGCAAGTTAACTAGGTTTGGGCTAGATAGAACAAGTATCAGGTGGATTCACTGTTGGCTACAAAGTTATACTCAGAGAGTGTTTATCAATGACTCCTTCTCAAACAGGTAACAAATGGGATACCACAAGGCTCAATCCTGGGTGCAGTGCTCTTCAACATTTTTATTAATGACTTGGATGAAGGGGTGCCGGGAATGCTTCTCAAATTTGTGGATGACACAAAACTGGGTGGAATAGCTAATGCCCTGGAAGACAGAACAAAATTCAAAAGGATCTTTATAGGCTTGAGCACTTGTCTGAAAACAACAAAATGAAATTTAACAAGGAGAAGTTTTACATCTGGGGGAGGGGACTAACCCCACTGTAACAAGATGGGGGATATTTGGCTCAGTATTTCTACAAGTGAGAAGGATGTTGCAGTTGTTGTAAACCGCAAGCTGAATATGAGCCAACAACGTGATGTGGCTGAAAAAAAGGCAAATGTTATTTTAGGCATTAATAGAAGTATATGCCCTCCTATTTGGCACTGGTTAGGCCTCATCTTGAATACTATGCCCAGTTCTGAACACCGCACTTAAATAAGGATGCCAATAAACTAGAACAAGTTCAGAGGAGGGCAACAAAGATGATCCGGGGACTGGAAAGTCAGGAACTAGAAACCAAGCACCATGAGGAAAGACTGAAATGACAGGTTATGTTTAACCTTGAGAAGAGAAGACTGAGTGGAGATATGATAGCACTTTTCAAATATTTGAAAGACTGTCATACAGAGGAGGGACAGTGTGTGTTCTACATCATCCCAGAGTGCAGGACATATAATAATGGGCTCAAACTACAGAAAGCCAGATTCCTGTTGAATATCAGGAAAAACCTCCTAACTGTTAGAGTAGTCCAACAATGGAACCAGTTACCTCAGGAGTGGTGAATTCTCTAATGCTGCAGGCATTCAAGAGAAAATTAGACAACCATCTATCAGATAGTCATTGATTTTCAGCTGTATGTTAATATATGCAAATGGTATACACATCAGTGTAATATTTTGTCTTCTTTTTTGATTATAAATTTTCTTTATTTTTCTTTTTTTTCTTTTTTAAAAAGCCTATGTGGCCATCCTGCCAAAGAGGAAGCCCATTACGGACCAGCATCCATATTTACATGTTCACAATGATCCTATCTGATTATAAAATCATGATTAGAGCAATGTGGTGTAGTGGTTAGAATGCTTGACCTAGAAGATCCAAGTTAAAGTCTTCAGTGGAACCACTAAACACACCATGTGATTCTGGGATAATTGTTCTCTCTTGCAACTGGACCGATCCTGCAAGGATGTTTTGTGAAGATAAGGTGGGGGACATATGGTGCAGTTCATGCTGCTTGACTTCATAGAAGGAAAGGCAGAGGATATGAATGCAACCAGTGAATTAACAACATTGTCCAAGCAGCTACTTATGTACAGCTCAGGTATAATCCAAAGTTCATGCTTTTGGACACTAACTCATCCCAACCAGATAATTCTGTGAACACCAAAAGGCTACATTCACTCGCACATGTACCCTTTTTTGACAGATGGAATTGAGGTAAACTGACCTTGCACTTCTGCACTGAAGTTTTCATTGTTTATTATCAATTTAGAAGTATTTCAGCCCAGGAGTGGCTCCATTGTAGATGAGTCTGCCAGAAAGGGCAAGACGAGTAGCTCCTTCTTAATAGCTTTGCAATATTATGATTTGAAAGAAAACAAAATTCTCTAGCTCCAGTGAAAAAGCTTCATGCTATACTAGTGTATTTGGGGGGGGGGGAGGCAGAGTTTTAGAAAATAACATTACCCATTAGTATCACTAGATAGTTCCAAGAAAACCAACTCAAGAAGGAACAGCTTGCCTGAAAATTCAGATTTGAAGATGCCCTTTCTCCTGCCAGGCACTGTGGAATATTCATTCTGCTCCCGAGACCTCTTCTGAGCTGTATGGGAGCCAAAGAATATGCTAGACATGTCTGAAGGTCAAGGGCCTCAAACAAGAGATAATACTTTTTCCTCCCTGTTAATCATGTTCTGTAATTCTGAAGATAAAGTTTATATCCAGCGTGGCTGCGGTCTCCTCCGGAGCAGTCTTTAATGACATCTTCCCTTTTAATTATTGATAACTCCCCAATGATGTGAATTTCAAATAGCAGCAATGATTAATGGGGACGTAAATAACATGTCCTAACTTTTCCCACCAGAGATCATTTTCAAACTGCAGCTTGTAACATTTTCAAAAATTAGGAGCTGTTAAAATGTGGTGGGAGAGAAAATGGACCCCCCCACACACACAATTTATTTCAAATGGATATTTCAGGTGCATGAGTAAATAAATAGTTATTATCTGGCCTTTAATGAACTTTTTTCCCCCCATTTATAACCTTGGATCTTTCACGAATTTTCAGTCCCATTACCGTGCATTTATTGAAAACATCACAAAGTAACTGAGGATCATATCAACCCCCCTAAGCAAACTAGTATCAAAACAGCTCATATGCTTAACATGTCCATTTTGATACTACTGTTTTCAGTACCTTGCCCTCCATTTATACAGAAGTTATGTTAGGAAAGGGAATGAATGTGGTTCATCCGGGAACACCCAACACAGCTCAGGTCTCCTACTGGCTTGGGGACTAAAAGAGAGCTTCAGGGCTGCTGGAGACATACTTCTATTTACATGGAAGACAAACTCATGTGTCCCAGTTTGATGTCTTTGAGTAAGTGGGTCTCTGATGATAAGAGCAGGCTACCATAATCACAGAACTAAGTGAATGAGAGCTGGCACAGGTTTAATCAGAAGAATCACCCAACAGTCCAAACAGCAGGGGTAGAGAACAGCAGGTTTGGACTCTGAAGTTGTTGTTGACTGTGAATCCCATTGGCTCTAGCCAGAGGAGTCAATGTGTCCAGAGGAGTCATATTAAAAAATAAAATTTGCTGTCCTTCCAGAAGCAGGCAAGGACAATTCTCTTCAACCAGGCTTTCCTTTAATGATTGGCTATCTGAGAAGGGTATGAAATGGTGTGTTATGCCTCTTTGCTTTGAATGTGGTTATGATGTTGATGTTGTTTACCATTTTTGTTTACCATTTGTTTGATTCTTTTAAATAGTTGTAATACTTACTGTTTTTAGCTTTTAAATATTGTCTTTTAATAATATAAACCACCTTGGGTCCTCCACAAGGAGCCTCGTGGCGCAGTGGTTAAATCGCTGTACTGCAGCCAAAACTGTGCTCACGACCTGGGGTTCAAATCCCAGGTAGCCGGCTCAAGGTTGACTCAGCCTTCTATCCTTCTGAGATCGGTAAAATGAGTACCCAGCTTGCTGGGGGGGCAATGTGTAGCCTGCATAATTACATTGTAAACCGCCCAGAGAGTGCTTGAAGCATTATGGGGCAGTATATAAGCAGCACGCTTTTTCCTTTTAAGGAGAATGGTGGCATGAAAAAAATTTAAATAAATATATTTTTTTAAAAAAACATATCATCCAATGTAGAAAAATGGGAAGAGTGTCAAACTAGGACTCTGGCTTTTAAGGAGAACGGTGGCATGAAAAAAATTTAAATAAATAATTTTTTTTTAAAAAAACATATCCAATGTAGAATAATGGGAAGAGTGTCAAACTAGGACTCTGGAGAACCACTTGAAATCCCTCCTTAGCCATAGAAATCAATGATGGGTTAGCAATAGTAAATAATTCTTTCAACATCTCACATCTTTTGAAAATCTTATTTGGTTCACCAGAACTGAGAAAGGGCTTGATGAAATATAACCCCCCCCCCAAAAAAAGACTAACATATTGCAGACCATATGTTCACCATCTCTGCTCTATAGGACTCCCAGATTTATCCTTGCTCAGCAGCCTCATGTGACCTTAGGTCATGTTCACAAGTTATTGAACTCTTAAAAGGGGTTTATGAATATTGTCTAAAATAATGGGATGTCGTCAAGTTACACAGTGTCACCATGTGAGGCCTGGAACAGAGAAGCAAAGCATGGTCTATCAGCAGAAAGATATGGCTGAGGATGAAGGTCTACTTAACTCCTCTTCAGAGGGTGTCTGCAGGAGCTATGCCCAGCAAATGACTACACAACTTTTCCTACCTTAGCAACCACTACATGTTTTAAATCCCACAATCTTTTGGCAAGCAGGATGGAGTTGATGAGAACTGTTATTCAAAATATCTAGAAAGCACCAAGCTGAGAAAGATGATCCATGCTGAATTCTTTCCTGTTTGGGCTATGAAACAGAAATCACACCAGCTATTCAGATATGATAGGCATGTTTCTTAAAAACATGGACTGAGTGGAGATTAGCATCTGCTGGGCGCCATTGTTTCCCTTGGTGACTACTTTTTTTTTTTTGCTGAATCGGATGAGTGGTGTTGGCAGAATCCTAAGGTTGGGATGAAGCCATGGTGAAGTCTACTGAGGCAGCCAAGGAACCTGCTGGAATTTCAAGGTTTAGGCATTGCTTTTCTTAGAATTTGATCTGCCGCGAATGAAAACTGGCAACATCTGGAGATTCAGAAGTCTTAAGCTGGTTGACAAACTGGCAGAACTCTGTTCTGTTGATTGGAAACCCCAGGCAACACTCTGCACATCGCAGTGGAACTGGAAGAAGAAACCATATGTGTGATTCTAGGTGGGGATTTTGTTACATTCTTGCTCTGCTTCTTTCACAAACTTTTACAAGGAATGCATACAGTGGGCTTTATCTACACCACACAGGCACATCAGTTTGATTCCAATTTAATTAGCATGGCAACATACTGAAGAGTTTGAGAATTTATACTTTGGTGAGGTATGCAGGACTCTCTCTTAAAGACCTCGGGTGCCCTCATCTGATTGCCTCCACAAACTATATATCCCAGGATTCCTCAGGAGGGAGCCATGACAGTTAAAATGAACTTAAAGTGCTAGACCTCTGTAATATGGATTAGAGATGAGCACAAAGCTCAATACAAACCAGGAAATTTGTGGAAAATCACCAATGCTTTGCTGCAGATCAGTTCAGGTTCATCCAAACCAGGGAACCTGAACTTTCCCAAAGCAATGAATTTGGGAGTTAATTTGCAAACATCCTAGTTCACTCCTCCCCACAGAATCCCCTGCCCCTTCCGTTGCCTCCATACCATGTCCTCGTCCTCCTCCACCTCCACTGCTGCCACCACCAGCTTTGCAAACAGAGTCTGGCTTCCCTTCTGGCAGCCTAGCTTGCCCTGTCTGCCCATGTGCCCACCGATTAGCCACGGGCTTTAAAAAAAAAGGCTCCAATGAACCAATGAAACAATTTGTGGTTCGTTGGTTAACCACCTGGAAATGTGTGGTTCATGGTTCATCAACCTTGATAAACTGTGAACCAAAATGAACCCCCATTTTGGCGATTTGTCCCCATCTCTAGTATTGATACATTGCAAGTCATCTTCAATTTGTAACCCGTCCATATTCTTCCACGGTATATTCTTTCTTCTTCCTTTCTTTAGTAAGAAAAAAATTCCATTTCAGGAGGGAAATAACTGCACAATACCTTTTGAGGTTTGATTGGTAGTGAGAGGAGGCCTCTGTCAAGGAAAACACGGTGTCCCAAATCTATGATAAGCTTCAGAAACATTTCGTATGGGGGTGCTGTTCTGTGACTGAACATGCGATGGCAAACTATCCATAGTCTGTAGGGATGGGTGCATATTTGAATATAATCATCAGAATAGGAGACAAGGTTGAGACTTCAGGAGCAGGAATGTGGAGAGTACCTAGAAAATGTCTTGTTCCTTATAGTTTTCTGAATCTAGCCGTGCTTTACCATATTTTCCACCTACACTAGCAAGATTACCTGATTTTTCATAAAAATGAGATACACACAGCTAGTCTTGTTTCTTCCATCTTTTTGCTTGTTTCATCTGTTCTTCTGCACAAAGACACGCCACAGCTCAAAAACATTTCTAGCGAAATTTGTTCAGGAAAGATGCCATTTTGTGCAGGAACAATCCTGTCAATGTTGGTGTTTCTTCTGAAAAAGGAAATGCCCTGAAAACTCCAAGAAATCCTGTCAGGTTGCCCATGAGATATATCAGTAAAAATATCTCACTGTGAAAAGAAAAGAGGGATTTTCCCTCCTCAGTTTCTCACTAAGAGCCAGAGACTGCAAGATTTACGCCTTGTTCATGTTGTATGTGCCATCTCCATCAAAAGAAGCTTGTGATGCTTGACCTGTGTGTGCAAAATACTCCAAGAACTAACTCTCTCTCTCTTCTCTCTCTCTCTCTCTCTCTCTCTCTCTGTGTGTGTGTGTGTGTGTGTGTGTGTGTGTAGAAATGCAAAAAGGGGGCAGTTCAAACAGGAATAAGAAATAAGTTTAGAGTCAGCGTTCCTTGCCAGCTGGTTACTGCCTCCAGCAAAACAGCCGTGTGAATTCAGATGTTTGATTGGCCACTGACCCATGTTCAAAGGAAAGGAAATGCACCGCCACAAAGGGGACAAAGATTTGCATACAGTTTACCAATGCTAATTCATGATAACTAAACATACACCCACATCAGATGCTTTGAAGAAGCTTTGTCTGTGGCACACAATGCTGACATTTTCAGAGATTAGGGTGTGATTCCATTTCATCCAGTTCACATTTACATCTCTTCCGCTTGGCTTATCAGAAATTTGTAGAAGTGTTGTCAGAAATAGTCCTGCAGAAAGGAACAAGGTTGTGAATCGGATTGATTGTGTAGGCCAGGTAAAAGCCATATAGAAGGTACGAAGAAAGCAATCATTTCCAAAATCTTAGATGCAAGGGATGAGGATTCCCTTTTGAAATGATAGGAAATGTGGTCCATGGGGTCACAAAGAGTCGGACACGACTAAATGACTAAACGATGACGAATCCCTTAAAGATGTAAACTCAGCAACATGTGAAGTCGATGTATATCAATGCTATCTTCTGACTCTGAATGAGATGTGGGAAGCTTAATCACTCAAGCTACCTTAACAAACTGTTCAAGAAATTGTGTTTCTGTTTGGTTCTTATTTTATGTAATCAAGCTCCTATTTACAGAGACCTCTCTCTTTCTCTCTCTTTTTCCCCCTCTCGCTCTTACACACATACAGACACAGACACAGACAGACAGACAGACACACACACACACACACACACATTCCTAACCAAGAACTGTAATGGAAATGTCAATTCTAACAGAATAATGAAGAACAGAATACTGAGTAAAACTATTCTTGCCTTGGTGGCTGGTTCTCGCGTTCAATATGCTGATTGCCCTATGTGCCCAAAAATGCCCCTGCTGAGCTCAGCAAAGATAGCTCTGTTCAGGCACATGCCAGAAATACACTGCAGTGATGCACACACCCAATTCCACCCCTAACTCTGAGTCTGAGTCTTCGGTGTGCCAGTGGCTGAAATCCAGGAGTAAGTCACAACTGGAATAGCCCCAATCAATGGAATCAATGGAACTTGCAGGGAATTGACTCAAGAAATCCCCACTGATCCAATGGGCCTACTCTAGTTGCAATTTACTGCTGAATATCAGCCATTGCAGTGTGACGGTTAGAGCATCTGAGAGAGCTAAGAACTATGTCCTCAGTCAGCAAAGGAAAAATAAAAGCTTGGGTGCCCTTGGCCTAATCACACATAAATTTGTTTGTTAGTTATTTAGTGAGTGAGTGAGTGAGTGAGTGAGCAAAGGAAAAATAAAAGCTTGGGTGCCCTTGGCCTAATCACACATAAATTTGTTTGTTTGTTTGTTTGTTTGTTAGTTCGTTAGTTCATTCGCTCATTCATTTGTTCGTTCTAGCCAGTCTTCAATCATAGGATCACAGGATGGGTTACAAACCTGTATAGCAGGTATATTATATTTTAAGACATAAGATATTGAAAACAGTATAAACCCAAACAACATGAACTTAAAAACGCCAAACATTTAAAACACTGAAAGCACAGCTTTAAAGTCAGCACAGGCCTGAGTTCATTCGCTCATTCATTTGTTCGTTCTAGCCAGTCTTCAATCATAGGATCACAGGATGGGTTACAAACCTGTATAGCAGGTATATTATATTTTAAGACATAAGATATTGAAAACAGTATAAACCCAAACAACATGAACTTAAAAACGCCAAACATTTAAAACACTGAAAGCACAGCTTTAAAGTCAGCACAGGCCTGCACTTACACTCTTTCCCACCTGAGTTTGATCTGCTTCACGGAACGGTTGTGATGATAACGTGAGGATGGAAAGAACCCTGTACGCTCCCTCTAGCTTTGTTGAGCAGGGAGGTCAAATATGGGTTTAAATTTGTATTCTGCAGACCAGGGGGAATAGCCATCCATGACATGGCCCATAACCCTGATAAAATGAGATGAGTAAGAAGCCCTTCACATTTCGTCCTGGGGAGGGAAGGGACTTAGAAGGAACAGCCAGTCAACATCAACGAGGATGCCTGTGATGGGGCCAAAAGTGTAGCCCCACCCCCATCTTATGCATCTCCCAGTTCTGTTTTTAAGTATAATGCTTGAACAGAGCTGATAGCTATGGACATTTGAGGCTCAGTTTAAATTACATGTATGGGGATGGGTTGGAGTTACAGCAGCAAAATGTAACAGGTGTGAGGGGAACCTGATGAATTGCCATGGCCAGGCTGTCCCTCCCAACCCAAATATTGGCCACACCAAAATGGTTGCTTGAATTTTGTTTTAAACAGATTGGGAATTTAAAACAACCACCGCCCACCCACCCACATCAAAACACAGGCTTCCATTAGGGCCAGTCAGATTCACTGTTCACCCGTGGGGACTCAGAAGTCTTAAGCAAGTGAGCTCAGTCAGCCCCAACTGTGCCTAAATAATGATCCTATGAAGATAGTAGAAGGAAAGGAAGGGCTGTGGCAAAGCAATCACTATCTCTTGACCCTTGCCATGCTAACATCTTCTTTTGACCTTTTTTTTTAATATTCTCCTTCCCATTGGTTCCTACAAGTGGAAGGCTTCCTGCCCTTGACACACAGATACTTTCTTTTCCAAAAGTCAATTAACAGTGCAATGCCATGATTAGTAATAGGCTTTCTGTTTGCATACAGGATTCCTGTATGCACGGTGTTTAAACTGTAGTCTGGTCTCTCTGCTCATGACCTGAGTTTGATCTCGAAAGGCTCAGGTAGCCAGCTCAAGGTTGAATCCTCCTTCTGATGTTGGTAAATTGCACAGGTAGGTGGGTAATGCATAGTCTAGATAATTAAATTATAAACTGTCCAGGATCCAGTGTATGCTTTAAGTGCTACGGAGTGCAACATAAGCAGGACACTTTCCTCCTGGCTATGTGGATATAGAATGGAGTGCGGCCAAAAATAAAGTGACTCTGAATAGGAAGATTTATCCTACCCCATTCTCTCTTCTCCTCTCAGATGCATACAGACATGCAAACCTCCCTCTCCATGAGCCAAATGCAGGCAAAATACAAAAATGCTGTTAGAAAATCCTGACCAAGGAAAAGAAGGCAATAAACAACCCTGTGCCAGATTACTGTTACACATGCTTGGGCTGTTCTGGCCTTCATAACTGAAGTCGGTCATGCTATCCTTTTAATCTGAATGCCAACTAGTGTGGTTTCCCCCCCCATGAAGACACATATAGTGTGCGCATACAGTACAAAGACCAATGAGTCACTCCACAGTTTTACACCTCCAAGGCCCTCAAATCTGGGGTCAGCTACAGCTATGACATTTGATAGCCAAACATGCTGAAAAGCGGAAGAAGGTTTGTTTGCTGTGAAAGAACTGGCTAAAAAAATAACTGCATGTTCTGCCTTATATCTTGGCTTCTACAAAAGCTCCGGTTACATTGTGGAAAGAGGAAGGGGAGAGACAGTTGTGCAAGTAGCTCCCTCCCTGCTGCCAACAGACTGTCCTTCACAGGATCTGTCACATAGTGGCTGTGAAATTGCCGGCACAAAGGAGAGCCCTCCAGGGGCACATTGCGTGCATTGTTCCTTCTAACAAGAGTTTGCTTCTCTGAATCAGATAAAAGTGCAAATGAGCACAAGATGGCATAGTTAAGTAAAACCCAGACAACTGGCCAATGTGGCATATTTTTCTTCTCCTGATTTCTTCCATCTGCCATGGGCCATTCAACCTCTCTCTCCAGAGCTTATAAGGCAACAGGAATTCTCACTCTCTCTTTTAGACTCTCTCTAAAGAGATGAATGATGCTTAGTACACATAAAGATGCAAATACCGTATTTTTCGCACCATAAGACGCACTTTTCCCCCACAAAACAGGGGGGTGGAAAGTCTGTGTGGCTTATGGAACGAAGAAAACAGTAACAGGAATTCTCACTCTTTTAGACTCTCTCTAAAGACATGAATGTGACCATATAGATGCTTAGTACACATAAAGGTGCATATATAAATACATATGTCCTGCTTTTGAGGAGGCCCCTACCCCTGAAGAGCCAGCTGTCTGCTATCTGGTGACCACAATCTTTAAAACTAGCATAACCCCAAGATCCATAATGTCATTGTCCCCTAGTATCCAAGTTTCATGGGCTTGGAGATATGACAGAGACAGGCAGACACATTCTTTCATATACCCTTTACAGGGTTTCCCAGGTGGAGAATACTCAAAAGTCTCCTTCTTCTGGGAACACTCTGGGACGGTGCAGCTTGCCCAAAGCCACACAGGCTGGCTTTTCTTGGATGCACAGTGACAAACCCAACTCCCAACCTTTGGCTCTGCAGCCAGATACCTAAACCACTGAGCTATCCAGCCAGCTTTACATTGACTGCCCCGTGTCAATATTTGCAAAGCAGATTTCTGAGGGAACAAATTTATTGCTGCTCCTAGTAGAAACCGCACTCCTAATTTCATGGATGCTGCTACAGTGATTCATAGCCGGCCATATGATTCTTAATAGTGTTGTATATTCCAGCTAAGGCATTATGATTGCATCAGTATTAAAAGCTGCGGCTGTGAAGCAATCTGATTTTTCCCCTTCAGAGAAAGTAATTTCATTCAAAATTATTCTGGAGACCTCAGCTGGCTTAGTTTAGCATTTTTTGCCCACTGACATAATAAATACCTTATTCGGTAGACATTACAAATTGGCTCCTCTTGTAAGTCTGTGCTCGTTGAAAGGAATCACACGGGTTGGGGCTTTTCATTTAGCTCCTAATAAGTGCCAAGGCAACTACTTTTCCACAGAGTTCTGTGTGGAAAGGGAAGGACCATTTAATAACCCATTATGTCCAGTGGAACTGAAAGACAGAGTGCTGGTGCTGACCTTTGAAACCCATCATTTCTCAGAGATCACTGGACCAGTTCATGCATCCACGGCCATCCATGGCAATGCAACATCAAGTCTGTGTGAATGGCCTATTAAAATGTAGCTGGTTAATTATTGGCATAGAACTTATGTGACAATATTTTAAGCAGAAATTTGGCTAGTGTGAATTCTTCCCCCACTCTGAAAAAAATATGTTAGTTAAAGAATATTCCTCCCTCCCTCTGTATCCTGTTCACGGTAAAAGTACTGTCTTTTGCTCTACTGTCTTCTGCTTCTATGCTATTTTTGTACCTGGTCCAAGGCTTTCTTCCTCAGAGAATGTTTCTCACATTGGTTATCCCAGCCAATCAGCGACCCCATGCCAAATATAATGACATCACAGTCATATGAGATGAGTCAGACTTGTCAGTCTACAGATGTCACTGACAGAAATGAAGTCAAACTAAGGCACTTTGGAAGCAATTATTGAAAATCGTCAAAGCAGGGCGGAGAATTTGTGTTTTTCAGCACAGCTGAAAAGGTTCATGGGAAATGCAAGGTATTTCCCTTTCTGCTTAGGATGGTGATAAAATTCCTACATTATTTTACTTGAATTTTTAAAATTTTATACTACCTTAAGGAATTTTTTAAGGCTGTAAGCAAAATAAAAACAAAAACACCAAACAATATACACAATCCCTCTGTTTAGATGTGTGTTTACACACAAACACTCATGGAATAAACAGATGTTTGATGACATTATTTTAGTGAAGGATGTGCATGTGTATTCCTTTTGTATGTATGTATGTATGTATGTATGTACACACAAACACTCATGGAATAAATATATATACATTCAAAAGGAATACACATGCACATGCTTCACTAAAATAATGTCATCAAAATACCAGTCTCATATAAATAAAAAAATCAAACTATCAGTGACTGACAAGACTGTAAAATGTAAGATATGGAATATAGGCCTTCCAAAGTAGACTGATACATTCAAGCACTTAAAAACTATTTAAAAACAATCAAAGAGAGACATACCTCCACCAGAAAGGCACTTCATTAAAATGGACCCTTCACAGAAAAGGCCCTAATGCTAACCTGATAAAACTTACTGGAGGGAATGTTAGCCATGCCTCTCCGGACTCCATACAGATACAATGCCTCCTGCTGAAATCAGATGGTCTGGACAATGCTGTCAAAAGCCCCAGAGAGTTCCATGAACATGTGCAGGTTTGTATTCCTTCTGCCCTTTCACAAATGTAGGTCATCCACCAGGGCAACCAAAGCCATTTCAAATTTAGTATCACAGCCTAGAAGGTGGATTAGGATGTGTCTAGACCATCAGTCGCAGCTAGCAGTATCTGAAGTGCAGCTATCAGCACCTACTCAGGCATCCTGTCCTAATGACTGGTTTGACACATGTAGCTTTCACCCTTTGTTAGGTAATAAGTCATGTATTATTCATGTCCTATGCTAATGTGGTTGAGGGGTGGAGCCAAGAGAGATGTTAAAAAGACAGAGCCTGAGAGGAGGAGTCAGTCAGAGAGGCTGAGTCAGAGTTTGGAATCAGAGAGAGAGAGAGAGAAATAGTTTGGGGATCTGAGGAGTGATTAGTCTGAGGAGTGATTAGTAACCTGTGATAATTAATATAGAAGATTAATATTGATGCTTGGTGAAACTGAAGGAATATGCTTATGAATTATCCTAGAAACCATCTGTAATCGATAAACAGATCCTATTAAATAGTCAGTACTGAATGGACCCTCGTCTTTTCTAAGTAAAGTACGTTGATAATAGTTAGTACTGAATGGACCTTCGTTTTTTCTAAGTAAAGTACGTTGATAAGGAGATCAACTGGTGGCAGCGTGTCAAGAGGTGTTTTGGTTTGCCTTTGTGAGCTCTGGGTTTCGTGAGACAAACAGGGGCCACGAGGGTGAACGCCACAACACAGTTCCGAGGTTACAATGAGAATTTGTTAAACAGCCATCTAGGCAGCCAAGTCTGCAGACAGGAATAGCAAGGTCCTGCTGCTCTAATCTTTAATCAAGTCTTCCCTGTTGTCTAACTATCTCTTCACTAAAACCGTAAGTGTATCCTGGAAGATCACTGGAAATCAAGAATAGCCATAGTAGCAATGATACATTGTGGTACTCCAACAATCCCTTCTCATTTCTTGCCTCATTTCTATGGAAGCATCCAGACCCTGGATGGGTGAAAATTTCATTTCTGCTCACTGATGTTAAGAATTTGCTGAAATTAAAAAAAATTCTCCCCATTCATGATGGAAAAAACTCTTCCCTTTTTTAATACTTCTAAACACAGGATTATTATAATATTGCAAAAGCAACGAAAAACTAGAATAAAAAGGGGGCAAAAAAAGAAAAAACAAAAACAAAACTTAAGTGTGTCTACACACAGGCTTCCGTGAAAGGTTTTCAGATATCAAAAAACATGTCCATGTGTAATTGCTGTCTGTATGCCATACACTCATATGTCAATAGTGTCGCAAGATATTCTATTCACTGGATTGCAAGTGGTGGGCATCCATCTTTCCAGTGTTGCAAAATCAGTCTCTCTGCAGTCGTAAGGGCATGGAGAGTCCATCTATGCTGGCCAGTGGTTAATCTTCAAGAAGTACAGTGGTGCCTTGCAATACGATGTTAATTCGTTCCAGCAAAATTGCTGTAGAACGAAAATGTCGTAATGCAAAAATAAAAAGCCCATTGAAACGCATTGAACCCCCTTCAATGCATTCCAATGGGCTGGAAACTCACCGTCCAGCGAAGATCCTCCATAGGGCAGCCATTTTCAGTGGCTGTCTTGCGAGGAATCCATCCCAGAAAACAGCAGGGAGCCATTTTATTTACCTGGTGGCCATTTTGAAACTGCCGATCAGCTGGAGGAAAATCGGCATTTTGCAAAGAATCGGTTCCCAAAGATATTCATTGCAAGTGGTGGGCATCCATCTTTCAAGTGTTGCAAAATCAGTCTTTCTGCAGTCGTAAGGGCATGGAGAGTCCATCTATGCTGGCCAGTGGTTAATCTTCAAGAAGTACAGTGGTGCCTTGCAATACGATGTTAATTCGTTCCAGCAAAATTGCTGTAGAACGAAAATGTCGTAATGCAAAAATAAAAAGCCCATTGAAACGCATTGAACCCCCTTCAATGCATTCCAATGGGCTGGAAACTCACCGTCCAGCGAAGATCCTCCATAGGGCAGCCATTTTCAGTGGCTGTCTTGCGAGGAATCCATCCCAGAAAACAGCAGGGAGCCATTTTATTTACCTGGTGGCCATTTTGAAACTGCCGATCAGCTGGAGGAAAATCGGCATTTTGCAAAGAATCGGTTCCCGAAGCAGGGAACCGATCATCGCAAAGCGGAAAAAAAAACATTCAGACCATTGTTTTGCGATCGCAAAAAGATCGTTGTAATGCGGTTTCATCATAATGTGGGGCGATCATAAAGCGAGGCACCACTGTAGTGATATAGTTTAAAAGTACATAAGCATCAACAAAGATCAAAGATTGGTTCAGTACAAAATTCATGTGAGTAAAAACTCCTCTTCAAGATGAGCTTATGACTGACCACAGCTTATGATTAAAATATGCATCAAGAGAATCCCAGTGCCGACATTTACTATCATCACAGATCGTTGTAATGCGGTTTCATCATAATGTGGGGCGATCATAAAGCGAGGCACCACTGTAGTGATATAGTTTAAAAGTACGTAAGCATCAACAAAGATCAAACATTGGTTCAGTACAAAATTCATGTGAGTAATAACTCCTCTTCAAGATGAGCTCATGACTGACCACATGATTAAGAGATGCATCAAGAAAATCCCAGTGCCGACATTTACTATCATCACCTGATACTCAGACCCTTCCTGAAAAGACATTGCAGTATCCATTATGTTCTAAACAAGAACTTATGTTGGATGAGCCATAGCTTAATATCTATAGATACTCAAATATACTGGCAAGTGCTGTCTTCTATTGATTAGGTTAAACTAACACGATCAATTTTCTTCCATTTATCCCTGAGACCTTATTTACTAACTGACAATAAATAGTTATAAAGAAATAATGCAGATTACTTTTCTTGGACTGATGCAATAAGCATTTCCAAAAGTGTAGGAGACTCTGATCACTCAATGCAGGACTGTATTTAGCTGTCAATAGATGCTGTAATTGTAGATACTGCCATTCAGTTGAAGATGGCAAATCATACCTACTTCTCAGGCAGGCAAATAGCAAAAATTCATGTCCAATTTATTGATCTAAGGTAAGAATTTCTGGATGGAAAAAAACTTGAAAAATAATGAAGTGAAGCATGGGAGGGACTGAAGCTGACACATTAGTCTCTCCGGGCTTAGAATTTAGAGTGCCCAACCCTTAAATACCTGGGTTTGTATTCCTGTGTATCTAACCTCGTAAAACTAGAGTTGCTAGCTACTTCTTTTTTTAAAAAGTCTCTCGTCTTTAACATATGCATAGCTGGGCAGGCAGGCATAAGATGGCCCCACTATAGGTTGAAAATAAGTCTACCTATGCAATATTGCTGGTGCAGACAGCAGAAAACTTCATTTCATTCACTTTTGAAGAATTTCCCAAATTCACAAATTTTTATCATATTTTATCACAATTTTTAATCATTTTCTCAGAACTTTTTTTATCATACTTTGGCTCGGGCATGTCATGAGAATGGCTGGCGGTTGGATTCCAAAAGATATTCTGTATGGAGAATTAGTGCAGGGAAAGCGCCCCAGAGGAAGACCACAGCTGCAATACATGGAGATCTGCAAGCGGGATCTGAAGGCGTTAGGGATGGGCCTCAACAGATTGGAAACCTTGACATCTGAGCGTTCAGCCTGGAGGCAGGTGGTGCATCACGGCCTCTCCCATTTTGAAGAGACCCTTGTCCAGCAGGTTGAGGAAAAGAGGCAGTCACAAAAGCAGCAAAACCAGGGAGCTGGACAGGGGACAAATTGTATTTGTCTTCTGTGTGGAAGGGATTGTCACTGTCGAATTGGCCTTCTCAGCCACACTAGATGCAGTTCCAAGTCCTCTATTCAGAACACGATACCATAGTCTCTCGAGACTGAAGGATGCCTAATCCCATCATGTGTACAGTAGGACCAAAAACCTTAAGGTTTAAAATAGCGAAATGCAGGGGAAAGTGGAACTGATAGTTTTTCCCACTGTTAATGCATCCCTGGAGCTAGTGAGTCGATCCAGTCGGGAGTCTGAATGCCTGGACTGCCTCCCAGGAGGAGGGCCAAGCAAGGTCACCTGTATCAAAAGCCCCAGAGAGATGCATGATGGCTGATAGTGTCATGTGGCTTGCCAAAAGGTCTTTGGCAAACCACATGGTCTGTGATCACTGCTGGAAGTCAGAACTGACAGAGGGATTTGGAGTGCATTATAGTTAGAAAATCCTGGGAGGATCACCATAACTTGGAATCACCTTGATGTCACATAATTATCATAATCTATACCTGAAGCAATTGGCCTCTATCGCCACCAGCACATCCAGTGCTGTCTCTTCCTCTCAACAACCAGTACCGACAAGAGAAAGTGGGTCAGCATCAGGAATGGCTGCATATGCATCATGCATAGGAATTAATTTTACTGTTGTTGCAAACAAAAGTTCAAAAGTACTCTGGAGTGGGGCGGGGAGAATGCGGAGCTGTGATGCCACTCTGTATCATAGTCATTCTCCTGAGGTATCAGTTTGCCTCTCATAGTTGTCACTTGGCAATGCAGTGAACAGAGTGATGAAAAGCGTATTAATTTGGAAGAAAGGCTTGCTTCCAAACAGCACTGCCGATAATGCTTGGTTGCTCTGGTTAGAATCTTGATAGAAGACAAATATATATGGTAGCTACATATCCCACATAGAAGTATGGATTTATATTTATGATGCACATTTTCTTTAAAAAAACCTTTAAAAACTAGATCAACTAAATAAAAGTTTTGATTGTTACTCATCCAATCTTCTCAGAGGCCATTCCGGTTGGTAACGATTAGACTTGAAGAATCTAATGGTTCTTCAAGGAACATTCAAGGATCCTTGAATCTTCTTGGTTTTCCTCTTTGTTTCCTATTTTTATGGTTCCCGTCATGCTATAAGCCTTCATGGAAGAATTAGTCAATGGCACAGAAAAGGGCACCCTTTATATACCTTGAATTTGTTAGGAAAGAAAAAGAAAATTTGAAAGACAGGAGCTAAAATGAAAAGTTGTCTCATGGGAAATTTTTGTCTGAGGCTCCAGCTAGCCAGCCAGTCTGACCTGTCCTTTTCCTGGGTATTCCATTACCCTCCCCACATCTGCAACATGCTGACCCCCTGGTACAGTTATCTCTTCTCCATGTCCAGAAGAACCCAGTCATC